TAGGTAAACACTGGTTTGGAAACAGTAGTGGATGAATGGAACAAGTTACCAAATATCATCATTAACTCGAATACGCTGGATAGCTTCAAACATAGGTTGGATGCTTATATGAGCAATAGGGGTTGGGTATAAACGGGACTGCCCAGTATGGGTCAATAGGCCCGCTGCAGTTTCCTCCATTCTTATGTTCTCCCATACAATAAACAAAAAATTTATCGGAAACGAACAAAATCGCTACATTAATTACGAAAAATTATTGACTTAAAAAAGCCCCAAAAGGCATAAAAAGTCGTGTGGTTTATTGCGTTTAGATTTGATACATTTATAGCCAGGTGTCTCGGCATCTTCACTAAGCCTCCATGACATACCTTTTTAAAACTAACCTGGTACTTGCTCGTGATATCTGTGTTTGAAAACTACTGTCTGAGTCACCGGGTGCGTTAAAGCTAGCAGGAGAACCAACTGGAGTCACCGGGTGCGTTAAAGCTAGCAGGAGAACCAACTCTGGCACACGAAGACTGACCAAAACTGCAGCCAAGTAGACATTACAATAGACGCGGGCAATGACGTTACCACAATGCTGTGACTACGGTACCCACGAGGCTACATAAGATGCTGACGGACCGATTATATACAAACTGCATTGTACTTTGAAAACTGTGGGTCCAAACCACGAGTAGCGAGTTGTAAAAGGTTAAATTCTGGACAGGGCGCCCCACCATAGTGCAGCGAGTAAAAAGTCAAGGACGGGGAGAAAAAAAAATCATCACTGACTTGGAACTCGTGAAAGACCAAAATCAGATAAAAGACAATAGGATCCAGACAACTCGGTGGTTAACTAAACGGTGCCCAGGCTAATTATACCCTCCCACAGTAGAAACCTGACGCCGCGCTAATTTCAACTTGCCAGCAACACGACGCAATCCAACTAATCTGCCCATGGCTGATGTTCTAATAGTCTAGACTCTGGTCTATAAATTATGTGTGTGACCAGCGCCATGCCATATGCTTTGGCAACCTAGCCTTCGTGATTTCTGGGTCATATTCACTTTACCAAATCAAAATTATCGTATAAGCCGATTAACGCCTACTAAGTCAAGCTGCAGCAATATTTAGTGAACACTCCTAAACATCAGAAGTAATGAGTCCAGTATATTTCCGCGAATCGGCCGAATAAGTAATTATATTGAGTAATATTTGGCTTTCCATGCGTGATTTTCCATATTTACCGTTAATTTTTTTTAACAATTAATAAACATTTATACTTTTTCAGAAACGGGTGGAGGACGATGGGAAATGTGAAACTTTAACTTAAAATCCTGCCTCCGGTCTCCACGTGATGAGCACCAACCAGTTCTTGTTTACAAATGGCTACAGGGACCGGCATTTAACCATATACGAAATATGAGAAAACTAAACTACCTATAAAATAAAATAAAACAAGATCGTTAGAGACATGGACTCATTTAATGCTGTAGTCTAACAGGACGTCCTTTTAACAACCAATGAGGCAAATGTAAGGCAATTCATGTTTTTTTTTTTTACGGGGAATAGCCCACCCGGGCACAGGTATCGACCCACAGCTGAGCCAAGGGGGCGAAAAAATAAGAGTAAAAAATGAATAGAAAAGAAAAAAATTATTACTCTACACCGCGAATATGCCGGAAAACCAACTTTTTTTTTTTAAGTTCAATCTCGGTTTTTTTCCACACTTCCGCATCTACTGTATGAGTACGAAAATAAATTTTACAATTCTCGTAAAAAAGGGTGGGGGGAGCACAAACCAGATATAGGGACTGCATATTAAAACTACCCACAACTAATCCTCCACACATGTGGTCACTCGACGAAATGGGTCAAGACTTCAAGCCTTCGTTTATTTGCACCAAACAAAAACAAGTACCAGGTTGACAATCCTATATCCGAAATCCTTGGGGCCAGATGCATTTCGAATTTCAGAATGGTTAGGTTTTTTTTTTTTGCAGGGATCAGCCCACCCGGGCACAGGTCTCTGACCCACATCAGGGCCTGGGGGTGGGGGGGGGCGAAAATGTAATAATAATAATAATAATAATAAATCATATGTCTAGGTCGTGTTTCTCACTTTTGATCTTTTTTTCATTCTTGTATTTCTTCATTATTATTAATTTTATCATTATTTTATCATTGTTATTATTTTATTTTGTTATTATAAATTCTATTTACTTTGAATAATTATTATAATAATTATTATTCCATTTTCGCCCCCCAGGGCCCCGATGTGGGTCAGTGACCTGTGCCCGGGTTTTCAGAGTTTTTCGTATAAGGGTTGTCAACCTATAGTACTGAAATTACTTTCCAACACGGGGTCTACTAAACTATTTGGCGTAAATATATCATTTGTAAAGTATTTGTTATCTGAACGTACTTTAGTTAATATTTCAGGTGTCAAATTGAGAAAAACGGAATTGCATTTTGCTAAGAAGTACCAAGACCTTCCCTTCGGCAGGAAAAAAGCATCAAACAATAAAAACAATTCTGGCAGTACTGTACAAAATAGTCGTTCCTGCAGAAACCAGACAATTCAGCGATAATTCTCTTACAAAACCAATTTTTGACAGTTTTAACAGTGTTGTCACTGGTAGCACTCGACCTTCCACTCAAGGCCATATTTAACAAGCTGGGCCTCACTATACAGCCTACAGTATGGCCTTTCTTTGCTCTACAATTCAGCTTACAATCCAATCCGTCCATATCGCTGTTGATCCTCGCTGGACGACCGAAAACAACGAGTAAACATTAGAAAATGAAGTACAGATAAATTATTGTTATATAGCTCCAATGAATATATAAAACACAGATCGAGATAAATACATAAATAACACCAAACTCATTATCTTAATCATATACCGTATCCACGAAGTCATGGGGTGTACGACGCCATTTAAGATGGCCTTCTTGCCCTGATCTTGCTTAAGGAATACCACCTTTTCGAAGCTCTGGAGAGATCTCGAAGTTTCGATATTTTGAGTACTACTAGCTAATAAGTCCCACCAGGAAACTTGGTTCGAGACCCCTCCACAGCTTCGAAAAGTGTAGAATTCCATGTGTTAAAGGCGATATTGCTGAAAAAAGATCAGGGCAAGAAGGTCATCGTGAATGGCGTCGTACACCCCACAACTGTTCTTGAATATTACACGGAAAATTGTACTATTACAGCGTCGAGCGAGCGAGGGCAGGATGAGGATACACGCATCCGCTGTGACGCCCCTTACAAGAAACCCTTCCCAGAAAACCGCATCAAAAGTTTCCTTTTTTCATTAAAAAAACCTAACGTAATGAAAAAATATTTTAATAAACCTAACCTCTTACAAGGATTTAATAAATTATTCCTGCACATGAACTAAAGGAGTTGAATATCACTTTCTGAAACGATACAGTAATTTAATATATTCAATTGGCTCAAGTGTTTAATCTCCAATACTGTACACAACAATTCGGGCAATTAGTATATTCCCATCTTCATAGTTCACAGGAGCCAAGCACTCCCAACACTCACCTCTGGCAGCACATACGACGTACGAAACACAGGTGGGGGACACCCTAACGTAATCTAATATTCATTACTTCGGTTAAGTGGAGAAAATGTGAGGGAAGGAGAAAGGAGTGGTGCAGTGTGATAAGACAGGTGGGAGTTGAGGGGGGTACAACATTCTAGAACATAGTTAGGAGTACGAGAGAATAATAGGGTCAAGAATTGAAAAAGATGACCGGTAGAGAAAAGAGAATACTGTAATGAAAAAAAAAACATGGTTGGTAGGTAAAACGAATGGAAGAATATAAAAGACGAGAATAAATGAGAACGAGTGGAGGGGGGGGCTGGTGGTGGGGAGTGATGTCAGGAGGTGAATGGAAGGTGAGGGGGGAGGCGGTGGGAGAAATGGAAAACAGTATGGAGAGGGAGGTTGAAGACCGGGAGGAAAACTGAGGGAGGGATGATTGTTGGAGGAGGAGAGAGTAGCAGTGGAGAAAGGGAAAGTAGTGGTGAATGAGAGGTGGAGGGGAGAGTGGTGATGGAGGAGAAAGGGAGGAAATAGCAGCAGTGGTGGAAGAGAAATAGTGAAGAGCACTGTTAACAGTTGGAGGAAGAGGGGCAGCATTGATGGAAGCAGGAGGGAACAGCAATGGGTCATTTTTCATTAACCTTTATACGATTTTCTTCTCTTACCATTTAATAAGATATCTTCAGGAAACGAAAGAATATACTTGAATTTAGCAGCGCATCCCAAAAATAAACGCAATATTGGGGGGTCCATGGCCAGTTAGGTTAGTTTTAACCTTTTAGCCACCCACAAACTCGCATTCCCAACGTGGCCCCCCTACATTGTTGGGGCGGAAAGGGGAAGGGGGATGATTTGCCCCAAAGATAAATGTCAATCATCTAAAACCCAAGAAAACTAGAGACCAAAGAAAAAAAATTGAAAAAAAAAAGTGATGGCAGGTTAACGAAAAATGGCAATGAAGGAATGGAGGGAACAGCAATGATGGAGGAAGAGACAGGAGGGAACAGCAATAATGAAGGAATAGGCAGGAGGAACAGGATGATGAAGAGCAGGAGGAACAGGAAGGAAAGGCAGGAGGGAACAGCAATGATGGAGGGAAGAGGCAGGAGGGAACAGCAATGATGGAGGAGGAGGGAGACAGGAGGGAAAAGCAACGATGGAGGAAGAGGCAGGAGGGAAGCAACGATGGAGGAAGAGGCAGGAGGAAGCAGATGGAGGAAGAGGCAGGAGGAATGGCAACGATGGAGGAAGAGGCAGGAGGGAACAGCAGCAGGAGAACGATGGAGAAGAGCAGGAGGGAACGGCAACGATGGTGGCAGGCAACAGGCAGGAGGAACAGGAAGAGGCAAGCGATGGAGGGACGGCAACGATGGAGGGAAGAGGCAGGAGAGGAAGCAATGATGGAGGAAGTGGCAGGAGGGAACAGCAATGATGGAGGAAGAGACAGGAGGAACAACGATGGAGGAAGAGACAGGAGGGAATGGCAATGATGGAACGGCAACGATGGAGGAAGAGGCAGGAGGAAGCAACGATGGAGGAAGAGGCAGGAGGAACAGCAACGATGGAGGAAGAGGCAGGAGGGAACAGCAACGATGGAGGAAGAGGCAGGAGGGAACGGCAACGATGGAGAAAGAGGCAGGAGGGAAGCAACGATGGAGGAAGAAGCAGGAGGGAACAGCAATGATGGAGGAAGAGACAGGAGGAACGGCAACGATGGAGGAAGAGCAGGAGGGAACAACGATGGAGGAAGAGGCGGCAATGATGGAGGAAGAGGCAGGGAGGGAACAGCAACGATGGAGGAAGAGGGCAGCAACAGGAGCAATGATGGAACAGCAATGATGGAGGAAGAGGCAGGAGGAACAATGATGGAGGAAGAGGCAGGAGGGAACGGCGGCAGCAATGATGGAGGAAGAGGCAGGAGGGAACAGCAATGATGGAGGAAGAGGCAGGAGGAAGGCAATGATGGAGAGAGGCAGAGGGAAACGATGGAGGGAAGAGGCAGGAGGGAACAGCAACGATGGGAGGAAGAGGAGGAAGGAAACAGCAATGATGGAGGAAGAGGCAGGAAGGAACAGCAACGATGGAGGAAGAGGCAGGAAGGAACAGCAACGATGGAGGAAGAGGAGGAACAGAACACACGATAATGGAGGAAGTGGCAGGAGGGAAGCAATGATGGAGGAAGAAGGAGGAACAGCAATGATGGAGGAAGAGGCAGAGGGAACGGCAACGATGGAGGAAGAGGCAGGAGGAATGGCAACGATGGAGGAACAGGCAGGGAGGGAACGGCAACGATGGAGGAACAGGCAGGAGGAACGGCAATGATGGAGGAAGAGGTGGGGGTGGGAACGGCAACGATGGAGGAACAGGCAGGGAGGAACGGCAATGATGGAGGAACAGGCAGGAGGAATCGGCAACGATGGAGGAACAGGCAGGAGGGAACGGCAACGATGGAGGAAAAAGCAGGGAGGGAACGGCAACGATGAAGGAAGAGGCAGGAGGGAATGGCAATGACGGAGGAAGAGGTAGGAGGAACAGCAACGATGGAGGAAGAGGCAGGTGGGAACAGCAACGATGGAGGAAGAGGCAGGTGGGAAACAGCAATGATGGAGGAAGAGGCAGGAGGAACAGCAATGACGGAGGAAGAGGTAGAGGAACAGCAACGATGGAGGAAGGAGGAACAGCAATGATTGAGGCAGGAGGGAACAGCAATGATGGAGGGAGGAACAGCAATGACGGAGGAAGAGGTAGGAGGGAACAGCAACGATGGAGGAAGGAGGGAACAGCAACGATGGAGGAAGGAGGGAACAGCAACGATGGAGGAGGAACAGCAAGATGGAGGCAGGAGGGGCAACGATGGAGGCAGGAGGGAACAGCAATGATGGAGGCAGGAGGGAACAGCAATGATGGAGGCAGGAGGGAACAGTAATGATGGAGGCAGGAGGAAACAGCAATGAGGAGGCAGGGGGAACGGCAACGATGGAGGAACAGGCAGGTGGGAACGGCAATGATGGAGGAAGAGGCAGGAGGGAAATGGCAACGATGGGAGGAACAGGCAGGAGGAACGGCAATGATGGAGGAACAGGCAGGAGGGAACGGCAACGATGGAGGAAACAAGCAGGAGGGAACAGCAACGATGAAGGAAGAGGCAGGAGGGAACGGCAATGATGGAGGAAGAGGTAGGAGGAACAGCAACGATGGAGGAAGAGGCAGGTGGGAACAGCAACGATGGAGGAAGAGGCAGGTGGGAACAGCAATGATGGAGGAAGAGGCAGGAGGGAACAGCAATGACGGAGGAAGAGGTAGGGAGGGAACAGCAATGATGGAGGAAGGAGGGAAACAGCAATGATGGAGGAAGGAGGAACAGCAATGATGGAGGCAGGAGGGAACAGCAATGACGGAGGAAGAGGTAGGAGGGAAACAGCAACGATGGAAGAAGGAGGGAACAGCAACGATGGAGGAAGAGGTAGGAGGAACAGCAACGATGGAGGAAGGAGGGAACAGCAACGATGGAGGCAGGAGGGAACAGCAATGATGGAGGCAGGAGGGAACAGCAATGATGGAGGCAGGAGGGAACAGCAATGATGGAGGCAGGAGGGAACGGCAATGATGGAGGAAGAGGCAGGAGGGAACGGCAATGATGGAGGAAGGAGGGAACAGCAATGATGGAGGAAGGGGGGAACAGCAAAGATGGAGGAAGGAGGGTACAGCAATGATGGAGGAAGGGGGGAACAGCAAAGATGGAGGAAGGAGGGAACAGCAATGATGGAACAGCAGTGATGGAGAAAGAGGGAGGGAGCGGTGTGTAGGTCAGCGACTAGCACTGCCTGAGGCCACCGCCACCACTAAGAATTTCCTACCACCTCCACCGGTCCTACCCACGACCTGCCGCCACACACACACCTTACCTGAGCGCGTACACAACCACTCCTCTTCTCTTGACATATGTACAGCTAAATCTTATATCAACTTCCGCGAATATTCGATTATTTTATCAGTCACCAATCTCAATCATGATATAAGCGTGGCATTATCCTATTGGATATATCTCGATTGCTTTCCCCACGTTCAACAAGCAAACAACATCGTTTCTTAACACTATGTAGATATTGCTTAATGCCACGGTACCTTCTATTTTTTCTTTTTCAAAAAAACAGATGATTATCACACCTGTGTCAGTCAGCGGTGTGGCATTGGCGTAGTGCCCAATCACAACACAACACCGGCACTTGACACACTTTTGACAGTTCTTGTCACAACCCGCAGAACATATACACACACACACTAACATACACTTACCAGGGTCTCGTTGCTTGAGAGGTAGTTAGTAAACGATTCAAAATTTATCCCTCCAAATCGTGTGAAGGTTTTGGAGGAAACGACCCTGCGTGGCTTCCTCTCCCAACAGGCAGCGAGACACAACCGAGCTGTACCACAACACACGTCAACTGTTTAAAATCCCCGCTGCTAACGTCATAGTTAGTTGCCCTTCACTTTTTTTTTACTTTTACAACTCCTGAAGATCCTGTCTAAAATTAAGGAAATTATTACAGTAAATTCAAATAAAATTACTTAGTATATCCGTTATAAAGAATTGTATATTTTATTTCTAGATTTTAAAAAGAAAATAGTATTCTTTCTGGCAGCGCGAATTATGACGTTTCACCACATGGCAGGTCTACTCTCCGCCCACCTCGTCCTCTGATTGGCTGAGCAATAGGTGGTGTGATCCTCTATCCAAAAGCAACCCCGGGATAGGGAGATCACCCTTATGGCTTCATACCACAAAGTTGATAGTATCATCTTTTAATTTTGGTTAGCTTTAGGGGCGTGTGGACCAAAGCATTGGTAAATAGCCTTTAGTAATCTGTTACTTAAGAGCTACATATGCTTGACTTCCCACCTTGGGTCATCCAAGGCTCGTACGATGCGCGGCGCGGTTGTACGCGTGGAGACGAGAGGTATACGTTCATAAGGTAGGTTAGTGATCGATGGAGTATCGTATGATGTGGAGCACAGAAGGAAAATCTATTCCTGACTTCTTGTGCTGCGTCATGTCACATGAGTATGAGGATACTTGGAGGGGGAGGATGATCCACAATGAGCAAGACTTTCATCATCCACATAGTCGTGTGCTTGTTTCACATTCTCTTGATATTGATAAATTCTTCGACACATACGATAAACACGAACAATCAATCCACTAGTCCACTAGTCGTACTGCACTTTATTAAGACTGAAACATAAGAATGGGGGAAACTGCAGCGGGCTTATTGGCCCATACTTGGCAGTTCCATTTACACCCAACCCCTATTGCTCATATATCCATCCAACCTATGTTTGAAGCTATCCAGCGTATTCGAGTTAATGATGATGTTTGGTAACTTGTTCCACTCATCCACTACTCTATTTCCAAACCAATATTTACCAATTTCGCGCCTAAATCTAAATGTCTAATTTAAAACCATTATTATGAGTTTGCTCTTGGTTGGATAGTTTGAGTACCTTTGTAATGTCACGTTTGTTTATCCCTGACTTTCATAGGTGTCTATGATCTGCTGAGAGGATTAATACAACCTTCGTAATATTTTTGTGTCAAACAAATATGGCTGGGCAGTGGATGCGTCACCGGTCGCTTTTATTTACCCAAATGCTTCCTTTACTTGGAGGCATGTAAGGGATATTTCAATTATGACTTAATACATCCAGTGACATAATATTTCCACTTTGTCCTTATTTATCAGCGCAATTTCGATATTTACATTGTTTTACCTTCTCCATCACGGTGATTACTTTGCAAGAGGATATGTGTCAATGGCTCATTGCATAAACACTGTGAATCCAAGTATTTATTTTTTACATGATAACACATATTATGAATTGTAGAGGGAAGTACAAAGCAGAGAAGGAAGTAATGACGTGTCATAAACATAATTTCTGTAATAATTTTTTGGAAGAGCGTAAAATCTCCCCCATCGCGACCAACATTTTCCTGAAGTTACTAGCGTGTTCGGGATGCAGATTTGTGTGTGTGTGTAAGAATAACCATGATTAATATGAAATAACATTTACGTGAGTCATCCTCCTGTGGACGAGTTCTTTATTTAAAGTTATCGACCAGAACATAGGCACCGACAGAATACTGATATAACTAACAACAAAACCATTGAATAAGGCATAAATATACCTGTATAAACATTAAAGAAAATATATTATCATCCATAAACCAGTCATACAAGTCACATGAAGAATCCTTCAGCCTACGTCTAAATTCACCTGTCTGTATGTACCTGGTAACCTCTGCACTCCCCCACTCCCCAAGATGCCGCCCCACTCCCCCTGCCGGGCCAACCTTCAACACCACCTGTTGTGTATGTACGTCACGCTGTGACTGCGACTGTGCAGTGTGCACCTGTTGCGACTGTGTACGTGTTGTGACTACGATTGTGTGTTGCGACTGTGTATGTGTGATGACTGTGCATGTTGTGTTGTGACTCCGTGCTGTAACTACCTGTGGTGACTGTGTCCATGTATTAATTTTTAGTTGTGAGAGTACATGTGGTGATTACGCACACCCACTAAAAAATAGTCGGCACCCGTGTCATATTGTATCACGCCGTAAGGGTGCCAAATATTGTACTGTAGATGCTAGGAGGCAACTTATTGATTTCGAGTACAATTTATTTTAAACACCGTCCCTTTATAATTAGTTCTTCCTTTCAAGTTTATACACATTATTATTATTATTATTATTATTATTATTATTATTATTGTTATTGTATTATTATTATTATTATTATTATTGTTATTATTATTATTACAGAATATAAAACACTACCAGC